TTGAGCGAAAAATAACATCGTATTTTCAGTCGAAGTTGCATTTAAGATATTTTTTTTGCATGCATCTGTAATTCATAACTTTATACATATCTTACTATTATTGTGTTACACCCAAATTCGATTCCTTTCATAATTCGGGTCCATGACCCGAAGATCAAGTATCATAAGGCTTCGGGCTTTGGGAAAAAGAATTTTTGACATATTCGGTTGTGGGTAATGTAGATTATGTGATCCAAAAGTTTGGTTTGTGCTTTGGAGTCAAAGGGTAAAATGGAAAAAGTTACGTATCATAAGGCTTCAGGATTTAGGATAAAGAGTTTTATGAATTATGGATTTTAGTTCAATGTGTTTGAAGTCAAAAGTAATTGGTTGTAGAGCTCCTCAATACCTTTTCGTGGATATAAGGATCGTCGAAATCAGAGTTGAAATGAAGAAGTTATGATTGTTTAGAGTTAGGACGATTTTTGGGTTAGTCACGTACGCTAGGCATATGGGTAGTACAGTTAGCGTACTAGGGCATCCTTAGTATGTTGGGCATACCAGGAGTATGTTGGGCATACACGATCAATGCCCAAACCCTATTTTCGTGGTTTGAGCCATATTTAAGCTCCTTAACTTTGCTAAACCCATTCCATTCTCAGCCTCCACCTCTCCAACACCCTTCATTGAAACCCCACCCTATTTTGATCCTTGTGAGCAAAGAGAAGGTTTCTTTAAGCTCTTTGGAGTGTTCTTGGTGCACCTTAGAAAAGAAGGAACTTGTTGAAGAAGCGTTGAATGCATTGGAGCTTGTAGATCCAAACCTTGTTCACCTTGCTCTCTCTTTTGGAGGTATAAAGTTTGAATCTTGATGATAAAATTGTTAGATCTACCTAGTTTTTTTGTGTAATGAGCTTCTGGTCACTTTAAGTGCTTAAGGCTTAGATCTTGAAAGTTTGTGACCTTGTTATGGATAAAGTTGTAAATTTTATCCATCTAAACATCATATTCATTCAGATCTGATGGTTGGAGACTTGAACTTAATGGATTAAGTTGAAAGACATGTGCTTTTGGTCCCTTTGAGACTTAAAGACTAGATCATGTTTGTTAGGACCATTTTAATGGATAAAGTTGGAAACTTTATCCATTATGGAGTCATTAGGAACTCTAAAAATGTGACCTTTGTTGCTAGTTTTCCTCCATGCATGGTCTTGGATGTCTTATTGGGTTAAGAAGTTAGGGTTTTTGGATGTTGAAGAATTAATAGCCATGCGAGACCATTAAGTTGGAAACTTTATGGTTAAGGATCTCATTTGAGGGTTAGATCTGGATTTTGGATGAAAGAGCTTAAAGTATTAAGCTCATAAGGGAATGAGAGGATGGCTGCCACATATGTTGGGCGTACCAAAGGGTATGTTGTGCGTACGTGGTCAGCCCCTCGACTTCTGGTCAAGGTGTAGTACGTCCCATATACGTGTTGAGTACGCCAAATGTACTCAACTGAGTTGACCCAGTCGACTCGATTGACATTAGACTTTGACCATGATTTTTACCAAGTTTTGACCTAAGGGAATTTTGGGTAATTTGATTTATAGTTTGAGATTTGGGTTCCTGTTAATTGTATATATGACCGGTAGAGATAACTTTTAGAGCAGTGATCAGCTCAACTATTCTTTTAGATTGTGAGGTGAATTTTTCTCACTATATTCATGGGTTGAAGGCACCAATGTCGATCTATTAGTTGTTATGTGGAATGCTAGTTGTCTCTGCGATGCTTGCATGAAAGACCAGGATCTAGCCCCTGGCAATTGAATGAAAGACCAGGATCTGACTCCTGGAAATTGTATGAAAGACCATGATCCAACCCCTAGCAGTTGTATGAAAGACCATGATCCAACCCCTAGCAGTTGTATGAAAGAACAGGATTTGGCACCTGACACTTGTATGTAAGACTTGGATTTGGCGCTCGACATTACAAAGAAAGATCATGTGGGTAGCCCATGACACTTGTATGTAAGACCGGGATTTGACTCTCGGCATTGCAAGGAAAGACCATCAGGGTAGCCCATGACATTTGTATGTTCTGGTATGTGGTATTTTGGGGAGCAAACTAAGCTTTGTGCTTATGGTTTTATATTTATGGTTTCAGGTACTTTCGGTTCGAAAGAGAAAAGCCCAACGTGACTACATAACATCTCCTAGAGTTTTCCGTATTGGCAATTAATGATATTATTCTTATGTTTAAATAATATATTTAATTTGATCGGTTTTGGAACAACTCATTTGTATGATTTATTGTTTTAAAAATAAAAAATTTACAATGGATTTTCGGGACGTTACACATTGTTTCTTCTATAATAGCATCTTACTTTCATTATTTCTGTTATAATACTATATTTTTATTCTTTTTCTTATTGAGCCATGATTTTCTTTCTATTCTGATCTTATCATGCAATTTAGAGGAATTCGATGATGCTAATATTGAGCATGAATACGCGGTAGAAGATGCAAAACCCAAAGTAAGCTGCTTATTTGCTAAGTATTTTAAATAAATTCGTACAAGTTATTAACTAATCATTCGTATTGTAGATTTAGCTTTGGTTAAATTTTTTTATGAAGGCTATGCCCAACTGCAACCCCGACGTACCTTTGCTTTGGTCTCTTGATGCAAATGATCACCACCTATTGATACCTCAAACGCTTTATAAGGTTAGGTTTTAAGATTTACTTGCTAGTTTTAGATGATTGATACCTCAAACTATGATCAAGTTTACACTAAAAGTTCATCATGGTGGCATATTTGTAAACAGACAGTTAAAGAAGATAAAACTCTTTGTATATGTTGGAAAGCATGTATTGTGCTTTTTGTGGAATCGACTCCTATAGATCTAAATCTAGATGATTTTGGTGTTGAGCAATACTTTGCTGCAAAAGTTTTGATCTCTTCACGATCATTTCAGATACAAGATCATTATGGATTAGATACCCTGGTAACGTAGCACAAGTTTTTGAAAAATCATTTTGTTTACCATTTTGTTTCATGTCTAGGGTCGGTCCGTTGGTTTTCAATGCCCAGGGCAAGATAATTAAATCATGCCCTATATTTTAAGATATGTAAAAAAAATAGTTACGAACTAATTAAATGAAATATAATAGCTAAAGAACAAAAAAGCTAGCAAATAAATAAAATGTTATTTTATTTTATAATATATATATATATATATATATATATATATATATATATAACGCTTTGCTTTTATTTTTAGTTTTATACACACTTTGGTTCCAACAATTATGAAACAAGCTACCCCATATACTTTTAAATAGATTGATAATTCCAAAGTCTAATAATTTGAACTTTTAGGTCAGAGAGAAGTAAATGTAATTGATAAATAAGTAAAATTAATGTGGTGCCTGACTTTGCCAACTATAAAGAACATATGAGTTAAAAAAATTCTCCTTAACCGTAGAAGTACTATTAGTTTGTAAAAACCTTATTTTCATTTGGATGCAAATATAGTCTCAAAGTTCAAAGGGTTGTACATTCATGTAAATAAAAACACTGATATGATTTCTAGTTGTTGAGTTTAAGAGATCTTACCAATTATGACAACTGGAATAGTTTTTTTTTAATGGAAAACACATATATTGTATTAAAAAAGCCAATAACAAGCTGGACAATGATACAATGAGTTCAAGATTAAAGGATAGTACATCAATTACTTAAAATATACATAAACATTAAAGTTTGAAAGAGAGAACATCAAATTGAGAGGTAACCAGTGTAGCAGGTTAGGTACTCCAATTACTTAAAATAATAACAATGAACTCTTAAAGCCTCAGCAAAAATACCAATCAAGTTTTGATTTGATTGTAGTAAGAATAACCAATCCAACAGTTAGACCATAAATCCTTTCAAAAGCAAATATGAGCAAATCAACCATTAAAATGAACCAATGGCATAATGGTCAAAACTTTACATTTACCACTTCAGCAAAGCAAAAGAACTTTCGGGAAACTCATTATAAATCTGCAATCATCAAGGGACAAATAAGTCAATTTTCAAGGAAATTTCCCAGCATCATCCATCTAAAATATAAAATTATCAGGTGCAAAAAGGTCACTAAACCACATTTGTCATTCCGCTACAAAATAAACAGAAGGCTGGCAGCACCACCAAAGAAGCGAAAGTGGACCAGGAGTATCGTGAAGGGCAAAACGGTCAATAACATCAATCTTCAAACTTCCAAATTAGAGAGATCAATACAACTAAGGGCAAAATTGTCCAATAAAAATCAGCAACAGTCCTTTAAATCCATCGATGATCTAGTATGAGGGGCAAAGACAAAGTCCATGAAATATTCACGTCTCCTCGTTGCCCTAACTGGCATGAAGAAGAACGTCTCCTCGTCTTCTGATCTTTGAAATTGGCGATGCGTGCTGGTTTTCTTTTGCCGATGCGGTGATAATAAGTGGACCAAATTTGGGCCAAAACAATATCAAACCTATAATAAGTGGATTAACTCAGATGCCTCTATTATTGTGATGCCCAGCCCAGCTCGCCTAGCCCTTGGGCCTGCCGTGTTCATGTCTTTGATATTTACCTTGTATGGACTTAAAATTTCTTTCTGTGTATCATGTCGCTTATGGAAACTATATGGTAGTAATGTGTCTATAAGTTTGTGTTGCGATATGTTTATTTATATATTTAACCGACCATTTACAAACCACGGGCCTCTTTAGTATATATATATATATATATATATATATATATATATATATATATATATATATATATATATATATATATGAGTCGATAACGATGGCAAACAGACAAAAATCCTTGATGCAAGTTGCATTATTTTAATACAATATTTTATATTAGGAAGTGAAAACAGTTATCAACCCCGAGTCAAGTCAACCCCTTTGTTTCCTGTGCCAATTCTTATCCATCACTCGTTCTCAGATCAAAAACCCAAAAAAAAAAAAAAAAAAAAAAAAAATTCCGTTTCCAAATTCCAATGGCTGTCGCTGAAATATTTCTCGCCGCATTCATCACAGTTCTATTCGAGAAGCTCGGCTCTGCGGACTTGATCAAGCTAGCTCGGTCGGAGGGACTTATCTCTCAGCTGAACAAATGGAACAACACCCTGCTCCAGATCCAAGCCGTGCTTGCTGATGCAGCCCAAAAGCACATCACAGATAGAGCTGTTCAATTATGGGTCAACAAACTCCAGGATTTGGCTTACGACATAGACGATGTACTCGATGATTTGGCCACCGAAGCTATGCGACGCAAGTTGAATCAAGAATCAAACGCCGGCACCATGACTAGTAAGGTATTGAAGATCATCCCAATTTGTTGTACAAATTTCTCTCCTACCAACATTATGTATGGTCAGCAGATGAGTTCTAAGCTGGATGAGATTACCTCCAAATTGAATGATATTGTAGACCAGAAAAATCATTTGGGCTTGAATATGAATGTTAATGTGAATGTTGAAAGGTCACATATAACAGAGAAATCGTCCGAGCAAACTTCACTGGTGGATGAGTCCAAAATCATGGGTAGGGAAGGTGATAAAGAGGCATTGCTCGGAAAGTTGTTGGGAAATGAATCATGTGACCAAAATGTCAGCATTGTGTCGATAATTGGTATGGGTGGGATTGGCAAAACCACTCTTGCTAAAATTATATACAACGAGGAGAAAGTGAAGGATCATTTTGCACTTAGGACATGGGTTTGTGTTTCCCAAGAGTTTGATGTTTTTAATATTAGCAAGACTATTTTTCAAGCTGTAAATGGTAAAAACGAAGAGTTTGCTGATCTAAATTTGCTTCATGAGGCCCTTAAAGAAAAACTTTTAAATAAAAGGTTCCTACTTGTTATAGATGATGTGTGGAATGAAGACCAAAGTAAGTGGGAACTCCTGCAATGCGCTCTTGTTGGGGCACCTGGAAGTAAAATCATGGTTACTACTCGGAATACAAAGGTGGCATCACTCATGGACACTGATGTAGCTTATCATCTTGAGGTTTTGTCAACTGAAGATGCGTTGTCTTTGTTTGCTCAACATGCGCTTGGTGAAAAGAGCTTTGAGAATCATCCAACACTTAAATTACATGGAGAAGGCATTGTGAAGAAATGTGGTAGATTGCCTTTGGCTTTGAAAACTCTTGGGAGGGTTTTGAAGACAAATAGAAGTGGTGATGAATGGGAGAATTTGTTGAATAGTGAGATATGGGATATACAAGATGGAAGAGGGATTTTTCCAGCTCTAAGACTAAGCTACTATCATCTACCTCCACATTTGAAGCAGTTATTTGCATACTGCTCCTTATTTCCAAAAGATTATGTGTTTGACAAGAACAGATTAGTCCTAATGTGGATGGCAGAAGGATTTTTATCCCAATCAAAAGGTAACATGTCAATGGAGGGTTTAGGTCATGAGTATTTTGAAGAGCTAAAGTCAAGGTCGTTTTTTCAACATTCAACGATTGACGAATTAGGATTTACAATGCATGACCTGATAAATGACTTGGCCACAAGTGTTGCAGGAGAGTTTTTCTTTAGATTGGATGATAAGATGGATGCATACGAAAAGCATGAAACTTTTGAGAAATTTCGACACTTTTCACTTATAGGTCCAAGATCCGGATCATATAAAAAGCTCAAGGAATTAAAAAGAGCTCGACGCCTACGCACTTTCTCACTATTATCATTTCGTTGGCAAAGTTACCACTTATTAGACAGTATTCTTGTCAAATTACTTCCTGAACTACAGTTCTTAAGGGTACTAAGCTTATCAACTCAAATCATCACACAGGTACCACAATCTATTGGTGGTCTCAAGCATCTTCGGTACCTCAATTTTTCTTATACATCAATTACATGTTTACCAGATCAAGTGAGTGACCTTTATAATCTACAGAGCTTGTTGCTTCATGATTGTTATGAGTTATCTATCTTACCAAAAAGTTTTCAAAAGTTAATAAACCTACGACATCTTGACATAAGTCGTACTCCAAAAGTGAAAAAGATGCCGTTGGGGATTGGTGGGTTGAAGAGTCTTCAAACTCTATCAAAGGTAGTTATTTCAGCGACTAATGGATTCAAAATATATGAGCTTAAGGGCCTATCGGATCTTCACGGTCGACTTTCCATTATGGGGCTAGAGAAAGTGATTAATCCAATTCAAGCAAAGGATGCCAACTTACATCAGAAGATAGGTCTTGATGTTTTGGAGATGGAATGGAGTGACGTGTTTGATAATTCTCGGAATGAGATGATTGAATATGAAGTACTTAAAGGTCTAGTTCCTCATCATAAGGTTAGAAACCTGAAAATATTGTTCTACAAAGGAACAAGATTCCCTAGTTGGGTTGGTGATCCCTCGTTTGATCGGTTAACAGAGATTACATTACGTGGTTGTAGAACTACACATTTACCAACACTTGGACATCTACATTCCCTTGGGAAATTGTTTATTGAAAGAATGCATGAAGTTAAAACTGTGGGTATGGAGTTACTTTCACCTAAAACTTCTTTCCTTGGTGTTGCATTTCCTTCACTTGAAGTATTGAAATTTGACGATATGCAAGGTTGGCATAGTTGGTCAACAAATGGGGGTGAAAGCAATGGAATTAGTAGATCATTTCCTCGTCTTGTTGAGATTTCTATTATCCGTTGTCCAAAACTAGCTCAAGTGTCAATTGGAATGATACCATCACTTACAATTTTACATATAGAAGAATGCTCTGAGACTGTATTAAGAAGCATGGTTGGTGTCTCTTCATCAGTTGTTGAGAGGTTGATGATCAATGGTTGTGACACAGTGGAGAGTTACAACTGCCCTATCAATGTTGAGAGGTTGGTGATAAGTTGTTGTGATTCGGTGACTTCCTTAACCTTTTCACAAGTGCAAGAGCTTCCTTCATCTCTCCCCGAAACAGTAACCAGTAATGGTGATAACATTGAACCCATTCCAAAGAATGGTTTGGGTTTTCTTCCTGTGTTTTGCCTAAGAGCTCTTCAAATCAATAATTGCAAGAATCTGAAGTCATTTCCTCATGAGCATTTGCAAAGTTTCACGTCTTTGGAACAACTGTGGATATATGATTGTCCAAGTATGGAGTATTCCTTTCCTTGTGGGGTGTGGCCACCTAATTTAAGTACCCTAGGTATAGGATCCTTAAATAAGCCCATGTCTCAGTGGGGTCCTCAAAAATTTCCAACATCATTAGTTGAACTAGTGTTATATGGCCAAAATTCAGGAGTGGTTTCATTTACAGTGGCAGAAGATATAAGGAAAAGTACTACTACTTCATCATCTTTTGAACTTCCACAATCTTTAACTTTTCTAACACTAGTTGATTTTATGGATGTGGAATCGCTTTCAGAGGTCTTACAAGACCTCACATGCCTTAAACGTCTTGATATTTGTTCGTGCCCGAAGCTTAGGGATCTGCCTGAGACAATTTCCATCCCATCATCTTTGAAAGTGACTGTTTATTAGTAAAAAAAAAAAAAAAGGTATGTTATGTCCTTCCCATCAGTCCACTCTTTACATAAGTAATGAAATTTTTGTTATAAATTTTATTACTATTATTTTAATTAGTGTTTGGTAGTTAACAAATTTGCAAGAGGGTTCTAGGACTAATATATTTGTCTTTCAATCATGTAGGTATTATGTCCCTCTTCCGAAACAAAACATGCCAAATTCCTTTAGTTTTTTTAAATAAATGAATGTCCCTTTTTTAAGTTATACGTTCTAATTTATGTTTTCTTTTTCTTTTCAACCATAATCCCAAAGTATTACTGTATTAGTAATACTCCGTATTAATTTTGAGACTTTTGTGTATGATGACAAGATTGTTTTTCTTGAAGTCCTTGGTTACAGTATCTTGGATAAATAACAACTTTCTAATATCAAATTAGAGTAATGACACCTTTCATAAAACAACAATATGTTTCATTAGAGGGAATAATTGTACAAAGCTATTTACAAGTTGTGTTCATTTTGTTTGTCCTTTGTTTTAAGTGTGTATGTACGTAACACTTCCAATGAAAGAACTACATTATTTAAAAGTAGAAGAAAAAAAAAAATTAAGCATTTAGTACTTTGAAATTGTAAATCTATGTTAGGAATTTCATAATGATATCTGTACTCAGGTGTGTCTTCCCTGTCTTCTGTAGAATTATCAAAGCACAATCAAGGTGGTAGAAGGGTGATTGATAGCTTTCAAGGTCAGTGAACCTTATTTTTGTGGCGATGGACTTTTAACGGGAGAAGCATTCAAAAGTCTTCATAGTTGTGTGTTTTGTTGGACCCACTGATTGGTATCTATATTTTCTGTCTTTTCTGTGTCACAGATGAGTAAATGTTAATGATAGAATTGTTGAGAAATGCATGATACCACGAAGCTAAATTATATATATAATTTGTTTTAGCTACTTTGATGTAGGTAAAAATCGTCTGAACTCACATTGCGTTCCATTTCTTGCTAGTTCATATTTTGATAGTTGCTAGCGGTTAAAATTGGTATAGAGTATAAAATTGATTATAGAGTAGAGTTTTCAAACTTTATATTACAAATAGAGTATGGTTCTGTAGTAATAAAATGGGTTATATTAATAAAAAGTTATGAAATTGAAAACACGAGAACACTTTTCAATCACATGTGATTAAGCTTTTCACATAAAGTGAAAAAGATGGCAATGACTTGAGAACAATCTTATGTGTGCCATCCAAACTTTAATTAACAAGGAAGAAGGTTTGATGGCTTTAATGTCCGATGATGTATTAAACTCCTATAACACATTACATGTTCTTATATCAAAAATATCAAATCCCTATTGTAATAAAAGAATAGGTTTAATCTTCTATTGATAAGTGTTATACAATTAGAACTCTTCATTAATGTTAACCTATTAATTATTCAATTTAAATTTTAAATTTTAAATTTTACTTTAATTACATTAAATTAATAATTGATTATCCATTTCAAATTTTAAATTTTGCACTCTAATTATATTAAATTAATAATTGATTCTTCATTTTAAATTTCATATTTTAAAATTTCACTCTAATTATATTTAATTAATAACATTAAATTGAAAAATAAAATAAAATTAATACAGATTATAAGGTAATATAACTTCACGTATTTATTTAAATCAACGATTATAATTATATATAACTAAAAAAATATTCCTTAAGTAATAATTTATTTAAAATAATTATTTAATAATTTTAATTTTTTAATATGAAAATTTAATTAATTTTATAACCGTGGTTCTCACGGGTTATAAACTAGTTGATAATAAACAAGCATATCTAACTTTAAGTGACGGATATATAAAGTTTATCCGTTGGGGGCACCATCAATAGACTTTGTTGGGGGCACCATCAATAGACTTTATGAATGACTCGGGTCAAATGGTCAAAATAATTGGGTTGGATGAAAAAGTGGTGGTAAATTTAAAATAGAAAACAATGTGGTTCAAAAGAAAACCAGATTGGGTTCAAAACGAAATCAAGTTAAACCAAAATTATAGGTAAAAGAAAATGAGGTAGTCAAAATTATAACCGGTTCACCATGCATAAAAAACTATGTTTTTATATTAACGATTATTTCATAGCATTAGATTTTTTCATATTTGAATGAAACTCATGATATTTGCAGTCACATAGTAGAATGAAGCACCTGATACTTTCTACTTCTCTTATTAAGCAACTACAAGGAGTAAAATAATATTAAACATTTTATATTTATTATATTAAACATTAATCAATTTTTATTACTTTGAATTAAACTCAATGAGTAAAATAATTAATTTTACTTTCCAATATCTAAAATAAAATTTAAAATAATGAAAATTGTAATATATAACTAATAAAGAGCACGTGTGATTACTTGAGATACTAAATGACCACAGTTTAAAACTTCTGTGAGAATACAAAGATCTTATTTATAAAAGTGTAATTTACATCGATTAGTTAATTTAATGTTAGAAGGTGTTTCAAAATTGTTGACAATTTGTATTGAAAAACATTAATTAATATTATTTGTTTAATTTGTTTTTAAAAAACTGATATTGGTTTCAAGTTATGCATAGAGTGGTTAAATCAGAAAATATGACATTTATTTAAGAAAAAAAACTATTATTTATACCTTGCATCTATTAAGAAAAAACAAATAACATTTATATACCGATATTTTTATTTTGATACACTTAAAAGGGATATACGCATAATTACTCAGTCATGTTTCATATTTTTATGAATTTATTCAACACATAAGTAATGTGCTGAATAGCAATCGAATCATGACTAATTCAAGAATCCAACTCAAAGTTTGAAAAAATAAACTTAACATTTAAAGAATTATCCTATATTATACAAAAATAACTATTTGTAAATTTATGATTAATTTTGTAATTAATTTGGATAGATAAATATTATAACTTTATATCATTTCCTTCTTATTTTTTTTCTTACTTTCACTTTGTTTTTTAAATTATATGGTGGTGGTACCAACAACCAATAAGAAGGTGATATGATGTATGATGTCATTAATTAGTATAGATGAAGTAATTATTTACGTAAAAGAACTAATAATTTTTAGAAACTATATTCTAAAAAAAATATTCACACCTGTTGCATGGCACGGGTAATGGTTAGTGTGTGTGTGTGTCTATATATATATATATATATATATATATATATATATATATATATATATATATATAACTTGTATTAGTTTCATCAAGTCGATAGAAAAATAATAATCCAATATGTTAAAATTATTTAAATAAAACTAGGATCAGTAATTCTCTTCAAGGTGTTAAAAGGTTTTCCATAATTGTAACAACCAAAAATTTCAACAAATTTAAATTTTTCAAAAATAACCCATTTTAATGATGTTATTACAAAAAGGTTTTCAATACATTTATTATCAGAGTATTCCCAGAACCATGTCATAAACATAAACACGAGGAGCGGTACGATCACGCCTTCGCCTTGCCACAGTCTCCTGAAGAACCTGAAAAACATTTAAACCACAACTGTAAGCCCGAAACCTTAGTGAGATACCCCCAAAATACCAACCACATATGCGCCCTTCCAGGCCACGACCTTCCGGTCCAAAACATATTGCCTTCCGGCCTATAACATAATGCCTTCCGATCCATAACATAAGTAGCATACATAACATAACAGAACATAGAACAGCCATGCATATCGGGTCTACTGTGTGACTGGTCTGCCGTATCGGGCCTTCAGTCCACCGGGTCCACCCTCCGAGTCTAGTCATGTCCTTCGAGTCTGCAGTGTGGTTGGTCCGCCCGTACCGGGCCTTTAAGCCACCTGGTCCACTCTCTGAGTCTACAGTATGACTGGTCCGCCCGCATCGGGCCTTCAGTTGGCCTGGTCCACTCTCCGAGCCTCGGCACGTCTGGTCTGCCCTCGTGGAGCCTACAGGCTATCCGGACCGCTCGCCGGGCCTTCGGAATAACCGGTCCACCCTGGGTATCTTGGCCTACAGCACAAAGCAGGACCCGCCTCAACCCAACTCCAGTCCAAACAACCATGTGCACATAACATACAATCATATAACAGTTCATAGTCAACAAGCCGATCAAGCAGATCACATAACATATCATTACCCTAACCAGGATACCGACCTAACCGATCACTAGCATAGCATCACCCTACATATTAGGAAACCAACCTTAACCAGGTCTCTAACATATACCATCCTAGCTACCAGGATGCAGACATATCAAGAAATAGCATAGCAACAAATATCCAAATCTCAATCCGATAAAGGGCCGACCTTGGTGCCTTAGACCCTGTAGATATAGTAATGATAACTCACCTCGCGAATGCCGATACTCTGAACTGAAGAAGCAGACTCTCGAATCACCAACTCACCGCCAATACCGAACTAACCATCATAACAAAATAAACATTAGGCCAATCATATATCCACTTATCGAGCCAAGACCAAAGTCCAAATCTTATACAAAGTCCAATATTGGCCCAATTTAACAAATTGGGCCCACTTCACCAAATGGGCCAAGATCCAATATCCATAACAATAATTGGGCCCAAAATACTTTATCCATAAATTCTCAGACTTGGCCAAATAACCAACTACCCACAAATGGCCCAAACTCAAAGGCCCAAAATGAAAGTCCAACAGGAGGAGTACGCTGGGCGTACCTTCCTTGGTACGCGGGGCGTACAACATTGTTCACAAAAAGGAATCGGGGCACTGGCCCGCTACGCGGGGCGTAACCGCGCTACTCAATAAGATTATTATAACTTCTTAATGGCTTAAGCTATTAAGCCCAAACTTCAGATCCCTAGGCCAAATATGATTAGAATTCATAAAGTCTCAAACTTTATCACTTGGGATGTCCATAAGCTCTTAATCCAAGGTCTTAACCCATTAAGACCCATATATCTCACACATGGAACAACTACAGCCCTTGGGACCTCATTTTTCTCACTCAAGACCTCTCCAAAGGTCTGAAAGGACAGGTAATCTTGACCAACTCGAAACATGCAACAATGTGAGGACTTTTGGGACAAGAATGGTGTCAAAACTTCACAATACATAGATCTACACAATATGAATGTCAAGCAAGAAGCTTTATACCTCAAACAAGCTCCAAAGGATGGTATCTCTTCAGATCTACAAGCTCCAATCGTTCCTCTTCTTCTTTGACAACTTCTCCTTTCTCCTTGTAACCTTTCTTTTGCCAAAATGAGCTTTCCAAGGTCAAACACACCCAATAATGGAGGGAATACGAGTTCTAGGGTTTCTGAGGTTAAGGATGAGCTTTAAGGAGGCTAGGGTATGAACCAACATAATCCTTATATAGTGGCTGACCCTAAATTAGGGTTTGGGGTTTCTGAGAGTACACTGGGTGTACCTCCCTGGTACACTGGGCGTACTCACCCGGCCACCGGCACAGTTCTCGCCCTTTACGCTGGGCGTACGTCCAGCTTACGCTGGGCGTACCCAGCCAAACTTCAAAAATACATGCATGCCATGCATGCATGGAACCCTTTTTTCCACTTATTCCACAAAGAGCTATAAACAATGATCAACTTCAAAACACCGCAACTCCTCTAATCTAAAACCGCTCCCAAATAACTTTACATTCATACGAGGGTGACAAGAAGCCCAATGCTTCTAACAACATACACCAGCCTGAAACCTTCTCGGATAGAACCCATTTCCTG